TGCAGCTCGGGTCGACTTGATACTATCAAATCGATGGATTTGACTGGCTGGCCACGGAGACGTACAGACGGACGTGGAGGGACATAAGTGATGGTGTAACGCGAAACGCGACCCATCAACATGAGTCTTTTGAATACTTCTAGTAAGGAACATAACATAGCTGAGCTATGATAGCTCTAGTGATATGAAGATACTACATAGCACAAAGTCACTCTTTAATGATAGATATTCGATATGATACTATTCGTCATCACTACATCACGGAGCTAAATGATGCCATTTCCCACCTATGGCATTGTCCACCTATGTAGCTCTGTTTTCCTCGGATTTCCTAATAATCTTTATTAAGATTATTCATAAATACACTCGCGGTATTCTAATATTAACAGGACAGCCTGGACTCGATTCGCGAGTGTCGAACTCTTTATCAAAACTTATCGGCGCGCATCGAGAATAAAACGACGGATCGCTGCCTGTGATAGGCAGACACGGAGTTAGGCATATGTTAAGATTGGTGCAAACGAGTTCCACGCCTTCTGAGTTCACTCTCAAATGTCTTTGCGGTGTTCGAATATCGAGAGAAGTGTTTTGATTTGCAGATCTTCGAGCTTGGCATTGATACTCGTCGTGTATTACGGCGTAAAACAAGGAGGGACAGACAGAAAGAACAAATGAGATACGCGCTTGTTGATGCCCCGAACCTGTTTGTAAATATTTTCGCGGTATTCGAATATTGAGAAATCAGTCTACATAGGATGCGGATTCCGGAAGTGTCCGAACTTCCTGTCGATGCTGGACGCGGCGTGCATTACTGCGTGAAACTATGAAAGACAGACATGAAGTTAGGTATATGGTGAAAATGGAACTAATGCATCACATGCTCGTTGGTCTCTCAAGTTTATTCGCAAATACCCTCGCGTAGGGTGGCACGAATTACTTCCTTCCATTTCCTTCGGAAAGATGAAGGAAATTTAGAAAAATCCTTCCGGGCAGGAAAAATAGGAAGAATAGGAAAAATTAGGAAAAATAAGGAAAAATAAAGACAAATTTACCGAAGCTGTCATAAATAGGCATAAAAAAGCCAAAAAACGAGTGGTCACGCAGCAGTTGATGTCTGGGATATATGCCTGTGTTAGTGGTCTCGGTTAGGCCGAGTATAGGGAAACATTGTTCGCCAGAATGATCAAATATTTTTGTGGCGAGCGAGAATTCGATTCGCAATGTCACTGTAAGGCCCAGGTTGCGGTGGTGGTTTCGGTTATTGCGTGGCGCTTCACAGTGCGAGGTTCGCACCATGATCATTTTATTCAAGCGGGTAAGGCTGCATTGCCACAAGGACAACACGGTGAAGTGTCAAGGTAGCTGCTACGTCGTAGCATACTCCAAAACAAACGGATAGGTAGCCCTGACGCAGGCAGTGGTTCTGTAACCGGCCGCAGGCTCAGAGTCTGAGGCTCTGACTGGATCAGTAATCGCCGTTACAGACAAACCGAGGTTTGCACCTCGCTCCGCATCATAATTCGTCAGTGTTCCCGCCTGCGCTCCTTGCTGATACGAGCGCAAAAGTTTTTGACAATCCCCTTATTCGAGAAAAAATAAGACTGTTGCTAAGATTGCCCGCTAGGGGGCAATTCCTCAGTCCGATCAGGTTTTACTCACGCGACACAAAGTTTGCTATCACATAACTTGTTTAAAGTTCTATTCGCGAAATTCACGAAAAAAATCTAAAATCGGAAAATTCAAAAAAATCTACGTTATTCACGACGTGAATGAGTAACGTAGATTTTTTTGAATTTTCCTAGGAAAAAATACGCCCATATTTCATATTTTATATTTTATATAATATTAATTCATCAGTAGTATTATTCATATTACACAGATTTTAAGTTCTGGAAACTATGACTCCCATTGAAATTCGGGGATTTCCTCCTCTCACCCCAGAGTACTCAGTTTCGTCAGCACTTCCCCCCGTTTGCTGCCGTCTGTGTGAGAGTTTCCTCTCTGTCCTGGCATTTGTTTTTCGACGATGCCCATGATAGGTATCAGAAGCGCATCCGCAAGGCAGCCGCGTGCAAAATTCAGAAGTATTGACGCGAACGACGTGATAGGAGGCGTCGTGGAGTTAAAAAAATATCAGAAGAAAATTCTTGTAAGTTCCCTTGAGTTTCTTAAAACATAATATTCCAGTGGAACTTTGTCGGGTCCTCGCATACTTCGGATCTCCCTAGCCCCGAGAGTCTCGTCCGACTACCGACAGGCAAGAAGTAATCGTTTTCAACTCCACCAACTTTCCTCAATACGAATACCTATCAAGAGTGCCTCAATTGGATGGCATATGATTTGAGTTCTGATAGTAGTAGTAGTAGCTAGCATTTCTAGCCGCTCGGACGCCTTTCCTGGCTCATCAACGCACGGAGAGGCCCATTTGATTAGTAAAGTGTGGGGCGATTCCCGATTCGCTGCACGTGGAGTAAATCTACAGACTATTCGGAAGGATATTCGCTGAGGCAAGCCGAAGATAGTATCACCCCAGATAGGGCGCAGACGAGAAATTGTGGCGAGCGAGATTTTTTTGTGGCGGCAGAGGAAAAAGAAATTGTGGGGGAGTGGAAAGAATTAGCGGCAAGAATAAGGGTGAAGGTCCTTTTCCCATATACCCTTCTACCAGGTGAATGAACCCGTAATGATTACCACTAATAGTGAGATCTAGTGAAGACATCTATATTCGTGTGAATTCGTGAAGAAATAAAAATCGGAAAAATTTTCCCTCGAAATTTTTCGACTGAGCTTAGGAGCGTCCAATTGTGGTATACAGAAGATTCAGGGTAGAAGTGGATCTAGGTGGCCCTTCCTAAAGCCGTCCTATACTCGTGCTCAGACTAGGACACATCGGCGAGTATAGTAATACTTTTCTGTAAAATACAACACTCTTGATCGGTTACGTATCGATGATAGTGATAGTAGTGTTGAGTATTTCAACTTCACTTTTGCATTGGTGATATACAAAATCCAAGGAAGACAAGTTGAAGGGTAAACCCGAAACCCGGCAAGGCAACCAGAAACCCGAACTGTTATACAAATGAACTCTGTTTTGAAAGGCAACCAGAAACCCGAACTGTTATACAGATGAACTCTGTTTTGAAAGGCAACCAGAAACCCGGACTGTTATACAGATGAAATCTGTTATCAAAGGCAACCAGAAACCCGAACTGCTGAGAGCGAGCGACAAACCTCCTTGAATTTTGTAATCTGCCTATTTTTCATCGACTTCTGCACGTGCACACATAGAAAGTGAGTTTGCAAGATCGCATAGGATTTTTTCCGAAATTCTCTTTTTGTTATCAACACACGTAGTTGATCATGTACACATCACCTCAGTTACCAATTTCGTTTTATAATACGTGATTGATTTCTCCTATGAGTAGAGCTATGGATAAGGGTATGTAAGCTGCTCGCTGTTGCTCGCTAGTGGAGTGGCATAATGATATTCGCGGTGATATGCAGTAGTCGTGAAATATATATTTTTCACTAGTGTTTTACATATCACTAGGGTGGAGAAACTACAATAATACCAGTAAGAGTAAATATGTAACGAACTAGATTATTGCAAATAGTATCAACTGGCCGTCGTAAAAGGAAGGGAAAATGTGAGGAATTCGGATGAAATAATATGCACATGGTCATCAACTACATGTGTTGGTGATGTTGACAATATGAAAATTCTGGGAGGAAATTTT